CAACAAAAACAATATGAAAGATTACCAATAGAAAACAGCAAACAAGTACAACCAAAAAGCACAAAATCCAATACTACCCAAAATTACCTTCTCAAACAAGTACTAGAAATTGCAAAACAAAAACTTCACAAATAGTTAACACTCTACATTCAATATAACGTACCTACTATACACATAACTGAGATAGAAATCTAAACAAAGCTTGTGCCTCCTCTTAGTAGAGTCTAGGCTTAAAGTAAAGCAGCTTTAGATTCTTGCTTTCAAAGATAGTAACAGTAGTAAAATCATATCTATATATTTTTACTATATAAATTTCAAAACTAAACTATTAATAAAAAAAAACAGAATCCAAGCTTTGCTCTTAAGAAAAAAAAAAAAATATATATATATATATATATATTTGACTTCTGTATTTAATTCGATTCTAATTAGCAATAGAGATAGATATTATACATCTTACTAAGTATATGTGTAATAAGGTACATAATGTCTATCTCTACAGTAATTAGCAGATTTTAAAAATAAGTTGTTAATATCACATAACATAATAATTAATATTTAAAAATCTACTACTGTAGTAGTTAATAATTATATTAATTACTAATCATCAGCAAACTTTAAATATTAATTATTATATTAGTAAAGTAGAATCGATAAAAACTAACAAAACTTACTATCTTTATTGTTACTATTTTTATTATTATTACTTAATTCTAAACTATAATCTATAAATTTATTTTGTAATTCATAAATGATAGGATACATTAGCAAAAGAATGAGATACTTGCTTTCTGAAAAGAATTTTATTGCATACTTAAATAGTTTTAATGCATTAACAATTCTTTTTAACAAATGCTACTTATAATCTTTTAATAGTAACTGTAACAATTTTGGCTATCTTTTTTACTTTCTTTTACTTTCTTTAAAGGCAACACAGATGCTAACTATATTATTATATCTTTTAATTCTAAGAGTCTTGTCTATGAAAAGTAACTAGAGTTCCTTTATCTAGTACAAATATTAGTGATATTACGCAATACTTTTATTATAGATTTATCAATTTCTCTATCTTCATTCTCTCTCTTTTTCTGAACCAATTTCTTCATATATATCAAGAGCTAATAACTGATTAAATTGAACAATTTTAATATCCACTTTTTGAATATGATTTTGTTGTACAAAATCTATTTGTGCCTCATTAAGCTGCTTTGATTGTTTAACTAATTCTGTAAAAAATTTTACTAATTCTTTAAATCTTTTTATATCGAGACTAATTTTTTTTAGACTTTTCGTCACTGATAATTGAAGAGTATAAGCAGAACAGGATAACTATTCAATATCTTCTCATATAATTAAAGCTTTTTTTATATTAGAACTATTATTGGTAACCCCTAAAAATAATTTTTTATTTAAACTAAATTTAGCTATTTTATTATCAATATAATTATATATTTTCTCAACTTTAT